GGGGGGGACGCATGCGGACGGTAGCACTGGGACCTTCGGTGGGGCTCCCTATGGGGCCGCGAAGCGCTGTACTGGGTGGGGGGACGCATGCGGACGGTAGCACTGGGACCTTCGGTGGGGCTTCCTATGGGGCCACGAACGCTGTACTGGGTGGGGGGGACGCATGCGGACGGTAGCGCGGACGGTGGGGTTCCCGTGCCACGAAACTACTGGTGGGGGGACGCATGCGGACGGTAACACTGGGGACCTTCGGTGGGTTCCCTCTGGGGCCACGAAACGCTGTACTGGGGGGGGGACGCATGCGGACGGTAGCACTGGGACCTTCGGTGGGGCTTTCTATGGGGCCACGAAACGCTGTACTGGGTGGGGGGGACGCATGCGGACGGTAGCACTGGGACGTTCGGTGGGATTCCCTATGGGGCCACGAAACGCTGTACTGGGTGTGGGGGGGACGCATGCGGAATGCGGACGGTAGCGCTGGGACCTTCGGTGGGGCTCCCTCTGGGGCCACGAAACGCTGTACTGGATGGGGGGGACGCATGCGGACGGTAGCGCTGGGACCTTCGGCGGGGTTCCTGCAGGGCCACGGAACCCTGTAGTGGGCGCGGGGGACGCATGCGGACAGTACCACTGGGACCTTCGGTGGGGTTCCCTATGGACCCACGTAACGCTGTACTGGGTGGGGGGGACGCACGCGAGCGGTAGCGCTGGGACCTTCGGTGGGCCTCCTTATGGGGCCACGAAACGTGTGAGGGTATGCTGAAACGGATGATGACGATGATGATGATGATGATGATGATGATGATGATGATGATGATGATGGTGATTGAGGAGGAGAAGGGGGAGAGAGGAGGAGAGGAGAGGAGGAGGAGAACGCGGGGCGACGTCTCTTCAAAACGAGGACCCAACACCACAGGAGGGCTGGGAAAAACAAGGGAAGAGAGGACGGATGGAAGGGGGGGGACGGATGGAGCACGAGAGAAATTAGTAGGAGGGAGGCTATGAGCAGAAAACACGCCGCGGAACCAGACGGGCAGATCAAGCGGGCAGACCCCAGCGGGCTGGTCGGGAAGGCGGGCCCAGGGAGCCAGGTCGAGCAGGCGGGTCGCTGAAGCGCGACCCCTAAGTCGCGAGGAAGGAAGTCTCGAGCGACAGCGCGATCCCCAAACAAATCGCAAGAAAAGGCCAAAGCGAGAGAGTGACTTCTGAGCGTCCCAGGCGCGGCGCCTGAAGGCCGATCTGCATGGGCCCACCCCCCGGGGGACAGAGCCCGCAGTAGGAGTCGGGATGCCCCCCAGAGACGCGCGCGCCGTAAAGGCAACGCACAGCGAAGTCAAGGGAACAAGGATGCATGCGTCGCCACCGGCAAGGCCTGCAACATCTTCACAAGCCCTACTCGCGACACAGGGTGACGGAAGCGCACGGATGATGACAGGTCCCGGCAGGGGCGAAAGGGACATCAACACGGAAAAAGCATTCAAAGAGAGGCGGTCGCAGAGAAGCGCCACGATGAACACCTGCGGAAAGGGGGGCCGCGGCTGGCCAACCTACGCAGGAGAACAACACGGCGCGCACCCGACAACAACGACAGGGAAAGAAAACCAGACTGCGAGTGCGCACGACGGACAGGACATGTCGACGCGCACCCGCGGAGAGATGGAACTCTTCCCGCGCGACCCGCATGGCGCAGGCACGGGCCGATTAGCGGGAAAAACGTAAACGACGCGAGCTCGACCACGGGGGCCCTCAAGGCCCAGCTGCCCCGAGCGGGGGCTGTAGCGCCGAAGGCACCGCCTCCCCCGCGACACGAGGCAACGTATGGAATCAATACTGCCCCGCCCAAAATGGGCTGTTCTTCGCGATGAGGGAGACATGGCCCCCGCCCACAACGGGCTGCTCTTCGCGATTAGGGGCGCGCCGGCCCCACCCAAAATGGGCCGCTCTTAGGGCTCTGGCCACCTCGAAGATGTCCTTCATGCTCAGAAGTGAAAGGTGCCAGCATGCGGGGCTGCGACCCCCCGCAGAGGTTCCTCACCTGTCTCGGGAAGGAGGGGACGATGGGATGAGGGGCCCCCCCGATCAGAGACATCCGCGCCCATTCACTTGCAGCGAGAAGAGGAACAACAAGGGCAAACTGACTTCTGGACACTGCAGGACTCAGGCTGAACAGCGACGCTGTTCAAGCAGTGCCACTGGAAAAAAAAACTTGCAGACAAGGACAACCATCACCCACAAAACAAGTTGCCCCCGCCCACGATGGGCTGCTCTTCACGATTAGTGACAATGGCAGCGGCCCAAATCTGCCTGGACCTCGAATTCGCACGCAGGGGCCGCGGCCCCACCTGCTCGCCTACGCAGCCTGCTTGCAGTTAGGGGCAACGTCTGACGATGCTGCTCCGTAAAATTGTGGGGAGAAGCGAAGACACGCACAGACAGAAGCACAACGGAAAAGGGAGAAAAGTGCAGGCAGCATTTTCACTCGGACGGGTACATGGATTGGAAAACGAGAAGCAATGGATGGAAATAAAAAGCGAAAGCAATGGATGAGTAAACAAGAAGTCATCCAAGAGTCTCGACAATGGAGCAACATCGAAATCTCTCTTCCGTACTGGAAACATTGTAAAATCGGCGCGTTGGCAAACGTGGGTGTCGCCACCGACTCAGACGGGCACCTGCCCGCGTCTGCAAATTTGCCAATTCAACCGAAACTCTCAACGACGGTCATGGCCCAGAAGGCAAAGCAAAGCAAGAACGGCTAAGCAAGAAGAGTGTGCCTGAGAGCCTATCTGAATGTGCCCACCACCTGGGGGACAAAGCCCGCACTAGGAGTCGGGATGTACCCCAGAAACGCGTGCGCCTTCAGGGCAGCGCACAGTGAGGTGAGAGGTAGACAGAGAGATGTAGGCGTCGCCAACGGCATGGCCTGCAACATCTTCACAGGAAGTCCCACGCGAGAGCGCGAGTCCCTGCATTATTGTCAGGACGTCCCGCGCAAGAGCGCGATTTCGGAATAACTTGTGAGGAAGTATAGGGCGGGAGCCGTGGTTGCAAATGTTGTAAAACAGAAGCCAGGGACAGAGTTTGGGGGCACAACCATTTCCCTGTTAAGAAATGGTGCGAGCCCGGGGAGGCGCACTTCAATTGAAAAATGCACTGGTTACAAGAGGGTGGATCAACAAGAACTATTCGTCAAACATGAGAGCTCAACAACAACATCAATCAATCAATCAATCAGTCAATCAATCAATCCTACAATGAATCACTCAAGTAATCAATAAACCTGGAGGGAGAGAGGACCCCTAAATAAGCCAAAAGGGTCCTCAGAGGCTCCCAAGAAAATCCACGAGGGCCCCGACTTGCCGAAAAATCTCTCCGAGACGCTCAAGATGGCCTCCACATGGCCCCAGATGCCCCCAAGACGCCCCAAGGGGCGTCAAAGTCCCAGAGGTCCACGAAGCAAGATACGTCAATTTGCCATGGGTGTTTGCAGGTTGTTTCGCATCTTCGCCTTTCCAGTTTCCCGACGCTCCAAAACGGCCCCTGAAACCCACAACGCGGCTCAAAAAGCCTCCACAAGGGCCCCAACACGGCGCAAGAGGGTCCCAAAACGTCCCAAGAGGTCTCCAAGACGACCCAAGAGGCTCCCCAGACTTTCGAGAGCCCCCCAGGGGACCCCAAGAGGCCCCCAAGAGGCCCCCAAGATGTTCCACAGAGGCCCCCCACACGGCCCCAGATGCCCCCAAGACGCCCAAGGGGCGTCCAAGAAGCCTCCACGAGGGGCTCCACCAGGCTAGACTTGTTAAGTTCCCACGGGTGTTTTCCAAAATGTTTCGCCTCTTCGCCTTTTCGGCTTCCCAATGCTCCACCACGGCCCCAGCGACCATCAAGATCGCTCCAAGACGGCCCAAAAAGCCTCCAAGATGGCCCCAATACGGCGCACGAGGGCCCCAAGACGTCTCAAAGGGTCTGCCGCTGACCCCACCAAAGACTGCAACCGAAAAGACTCTGGGAAATAAACTACAATCAAGGGGTCGGCAATTATGGCCCAAACCTGTAGCATCAATAAATCAATCAATGGACCGATAAGTGTCAAACTATTCGCTCTCAGATGCTCCCGTGTCATTCAACATGCAACTCTCCAGCCCTCAGTACCCGCCCTCTTTGGGGGTGTATTGTCCTTCCCTGCCACGTGTCAGTGGCGCAGCCCTTAGAACAGGAAGAACCAAAGCAATGGAAAGGAGAGAGGGCGCGAAGGGAAGGAGTGGAGAAAGGGAGGGAGGAGGTAAAGGGGCAAAAGGGAGGGAAGGAGAAGATAGAGGACGAGAGGGATTGGCAAGGGGGGTTCATAAGAGGGGATAACAAGAAAGTCTCAGGCGAGGGCACGGTTCCTGAGTAGATTATGAGGACGTCCAAAGCTAGAGCTCGATTCCAGAGAGCCGAAAGAGCGCAGCATGAACGAATTGTAACGCAGACGTGTGTGATTCCCGCTTAACTTGCAAGGAAGTCTCTAGCGAAAGCCCGATTCCAGAGTAAATTATGGGGACTCCCTGGCGAGAACTCGATTCCAGAGCGACAAGAAAACAGTTCGTCAATACATTGCAAGAGGAATTGTCTGTCGAGAGCGCGATTTGTTATTGAATTGCAAGGACGTCGAGAGCGAGAGCGTGATTCTTCATTAGATTGTGAAGGTATCCGGCGGGAGCCGCTGTTGTAGCAAACCGGGGGCCAACACCACACTCTGAGGCCCAAGATTTCCCGTGGTGATAACCAAAACTGGAGCAAGGATGCAAGCCCCAGGAGAGGCGGCTCAGTTATACGATAAGCACCAGAGGGGGAGAGAGAGAGAGAGACAATGAGAACTCAACAACAACAACAACAACAACAACAACAACAACAACAACAACAACAACAACTACAACAACAACAACAACAACAACAACGACGACGACGACGACGACGACGACGACGACGAAGCCGACGCCGGGGACGACCGCCCCCGCCTGGGACCATGTGGACGACTCCGTGCCACTCGACCGGGTGGCGGTGCTGCTCGCGCGGGTGACGTGCGGCTGGTCGTCGTACCTGGGCCCCGAGGCTGGCCCCCCCCCCGGCCGAGGGTCGGCGGTGGAGGCTCGAGCGCAGAGGATCGAGGCTCGAAAGGCCAGTGTTGGGTCGGGCCTGTCCCCCTACAGGGGGATTTTGGGCGAAAACTTGGAAATACTCAAAGAATACCCTAAACATACTCGCAGGTAGTCAAAAAAAATAGTCCCCTGGGTGTTCTCTGACTCTTCTTGAACATTCCTCCTGTCGAGGGACGGGCCCGACTGAAGTCTGGGCCCCCCCGCCGAAGTTCGACGGTCGAGGCTCGAGCGTGGAGGATCGAGGCTCGAAAAGCCAGTGCGCGGGCGTGTTTTTGGACCCTCCCGGGGCGCCCTCGCGGCCACGGCTGGCCTCCTCTTGCACCACAATCCTCGCGCGCGCGCGCGCCCTGGAACAGGCCCACGGGTGGACTCTTGACCGCCAACCAAGACTTCCTCGCACCATACTCTATGCTCTCCTCGGAGGCGCGCGTCCGACCCGAACCCATAGTATACCCAAATTGTAGCATATCGTTTCCCGAGCGGTGTGGCCAGAAAGCGCCCGCCACGACGCATATACTACAAGAGATCTCGGTGCGCGCGTCGCCCCTGGAAGGGCGACGCACATATAGTACAAGTATGTTGGAGTGACGCCGACACCTCTTGGGTGCCTGCTGCGGCCTCGAGGGCCCGCTCGTGGCGGAGGGTTCGAAATTTCAGTTGTAGTTCCACCGCTTGGACCCCTCTAGGGGCACTCTTGGGCCGTCTCGGGCGCCTCTTGTTTGTCTTGGGGTTCTATATTTTCTTGTCGGCGGCACAGCGTGTTCGCCAGATACGCGCCAACCGCCAATCAACGCGCCAAACGCGCGCTGATCAAGCAAACACAACGATTATGATGCGACGGGCGAGGCTGGCCGGCCAGAATGGCGGCCCGTCCGTGGGGCTTGGCCAATGCACACGCCCGAGTCACGCTGGACTGCTATAACTGAACTGCACTGTGGACTACAGATTGCGATTGCAGCAGCGGCACGAAAGGTCGCGGTCGAACAAAAGTCGGCGGTTGCTGCTGAAAGAGATCATCCTCCTGCTCCCCGTCTGATGTGGCGCAGCTCACCCCGCCCCGCCTTCGCGAACGAGGAGACGAGAACGGCAACGTGTGAGTGGGCACACTGGCGCGGCCGTGGGGACCTCTGGGGGGCTCTCGGGGGCGTCTTGGTTCTTTGTTTTTTATATATATATATATATATATAATGTTGTATATATTACTCATCTAAAAAATCTTGTGGTGTTGGGAACAACGTGGGGCCTCTGGGGGAGCCTGGGGCCCCAAGGGACCCTGTCGGAGGGCCTCTTGGGGGCCATTTTGAAGCATTGGAGGTTCATCGGAGGCAGGAACGCGAGAGGGCAAAAACTATATGTTTGCCATACGTGTTTGAAACATTTCGGTCTGTCGGGGGCGCGCTCGGTGGCCTGTGAAGCCCTCTGGGGTTCTCTTGGTGGCATTTGGGGCTATGTCGATGTTACCGCGAGCGATCTTGGGCCGCTCCGCGAGGCCCGCGAGGCCCAAATGGCGGCCCCAGTGGGGGCTCCGCGAGGTCTGGGTGGCCCAAGTGGCGGCTTCAGTGGGGGGCCAGAGAAGGCCTCTGGGGCCCGCCAGACTTGTTTGGGGGGGCCGCTCATCTGTGTCAGTTTCCTGGTGTGAGATAGTCACGCTACGAATGCATACATGTACAAATATGTATACATGTATGTATATACACATATACATATATATACATATATATATATATATACATATAAACATATATATATATGTATATATATATGTATGCGTGCACCCCCACTATGGGCCCCCCTCTTTCTATGTAGATCCAAACATTCAAAGATTGGGCGATGTTCAGCATACTGTTGGGTTTGAAGATGCGAAATTCCGGGATTATCCTAGCAACCATCACATCTTCAAATATTCATATCTTCAAATCTTCAAATCTTATTTGATTTTCAAATCTTCAAATCCTCGAATCTTCAAATCTTCAAATCTTCGAACCCTTGGGCGTCCGAATATGTTAATTGTGATGTCCAAGGCATTGTAGTGAATCGTCGAGGTGCCAATAATCAAAATGTTCTTGTACATGATCCAACAGGACGCACTCATACTGTCAACTCGTTCGATCTGATGTCACCACAGCAACCATAGCGTAGAGTCCTCTCTCGCGGAACGGAACCATTCAAAAACCTTACGGAACAGCAGACAGAAAAAATTAAGCTCCCCTCCTCGGCCGTAGCGTAGTGTCATAGTGTAGTGTCGCACCCCGGTGTTCCCAACACTATACTATGACACCAAAGTAACCGTAGCGTAGAGTCCTCTCTCGTGGAGCGGAGCCAATCAAAAACCCTACGGATCAGCAGACAGAAAAAACTCAGCCCCATCCTCGTCCGTAGTGTAGTGTCATAGTGTAGTGACGCACCCCGGTGTCCCAAACACTATACTATGACACCACAGTAACCTTAATGTAGTGTCATATAGTAGTGTTACACGCCAGGGTTTTCAACACTACACCATGACACCACACTAACTTCACTCTCTTCACGATTAAGAGTTCCAATGCACGCGTAAGATTAACCATTTCCGGCCAGACCAGGGACCACAACAGGCTTTCCCTCCACCCCTCCCCATCCCCTCCACCGATCCCATGAGCACTATGAACACCGAAATTACCTGGCTTCAAAAGATAGGTGGCAGGCTACCCGCCAACCTCGGAGCCACTACTATGGACCTCCCACCTCCCTCCCGCGCGAAGTCTGCTCGGGGCCGCCGCAAAGACTTTGTGAGAGCGCAGAAAAACTTGCACATGCGCGCCCTTCGCGGCCCCCGCGCGCGCGAGTGACCGTGTTCAAACAAGGGCCAGCGGAAGCGGAGCGCGGACGTGTAAATGTGCTGGTGGCCCCTGGCCCGCTCCACGGCTGCGCGTCCTCCTGCTGCCGCTGCTGCCCTTCTTCTCCTGCTCGTCACACTTCCACATCAAAAACGCGGAGGTCCGCACGGATTTCTCGGATCGGCGCTGGACCCCCCTCCCTGGCGCGCGGAGCGCGCCAGTGGCGGCGCCAGGGGGCCCCAGCGCCGATCCGAGAAATCCGCGCGGACCTTCGAGTTTTTACGTTCGTGTCATTCTTCGTTCCCCTATCCTCGGACGTGGCAGAGCCCCCGCTGGGCTCGGCTCTGGACCGCTCCTCTCGCAACTGCCGGCGCCCCTGGGGTGAGGCCAGACCCGCACGGCGTCATTTAGACGTCTGGCGGACCTACAAGGGTCAAGGAGAGGCAGCAGGCGCCGCGCACGCCAGCTGCGCCACCCGGCCCGCAGCGCGCAGCCTCCCGCAGAGGGAGGAGAACTCGCGCGTCTGTGCTGCCACAGAGCACTCCAAAAGACAACGCATATAGTGGGCCAAGCCCGCGACCGGCGCAGACTGAAACAAGCAGCGCGCTGCGTGGAGAATGCACGAAGCTCGAACAAGCAGCAGCGCCTCATAGCGGCGCGCGCTGTGAGCCAGAGGTGAGATGACAGGGTCTGCCAAGTCTACCCTGGCCGCGACACCTCACCCTCCTTGCGTCAGCGCCGAGTCGCATTCTGCGTCAGCGGTGCCTACAAGTGCACGGGCACGCCAAGCAGCATGGCGTCCCACAAGCTCTGGAGCAGCCCGCCGTCGTCGTCGGCGGTGCTCGCCGTGAGCGTCTCGCCATCGCCGTCTTCGCCGAAGCCGTCATCGTCGTGGCAGAGGCCGGGCGGCCCCCACAGCGGCGCCCCACCGATCGGGCGGGCGGGGCCGAAGTGGTTAAGACGCGTCTGCGACTTCTCCAGCGTGCCCAGAGGGCTCGCGAGGGGCTCCGCGGCGCCGACGCCCAGGACGTCAGGCTCGGCAGGCAGCATCGGAAGGTCCACCTTGACGGGGTGCAGGCACGCGGGCGTGAACGGGGCGGACCTCGCGCTGAGCCTGGTGCGATTTGGCGGAGTGCTCGGCGGGGAAAACGTCCCTGGTCGGAGCTCCTGCACGCCGTGGGCGAACCTGCAGCGTTTCCTCTTGCACCGTCCAAGCTGGAAGGCCTGGCACATGTGCATGTTGGTGAAGTCGGGGGCTGGCGCGAGCTCGGACTCAGCGTGGGCAAAGTCGCACTCACGGCCGTATTTGCACTGGCCCCTAAGGAAGTACGAGCACAGCCGCGTCTTGCGCAATAGCGGCGAGAGGGGGGCCGGCTCCGCCGCGCCCTCGCCGCTGACAGCCAGGACGCGGGCCAGGGATGCTGTGAGCATGGACGGCGGTGTACTTGCTTGGCCAGGCCTTGCAGACGGCCAAGCGCGGGTGGAGCCCAAACTGCTTGAGTCGAAATGGCTGCGGACGGAGGGAGACGGGGGTGTATGAGGAGGCGGGAGTGGAAGGAGAGGGGAAGGAGGAGGAAGGGGAGGAGGAGGAGGAGGAGGAGGAGGAGGAGGAGGAGGAGGAGGAGGAGGAGGAGAAGGGGGAGGAGGAGGAAGAAGGAGGAGGAGGAGGAGGACGAGGAAGGGCAGGAAGGAGTGGAGAGGAGGAAGACGAGGAAGGAGCAAGAAGGAGGAGGAGGAGGAAGGATAATCACACCAGCCCTTTGGGCGGCAGGTGGTCTAAGGGCGATCTCTTTTGTCTTCCACGACCCCGGTTCCCTTCGGGGAGGGGAACCCTACCCCTCCCCTCCCTGGGACTGTTTGGAAAGGGGGCCAATGTGTCAGACGGCCCTTTTTTGGAGGGCAAATGTTTGACACCCCTCCCGATGATCGTGCCCCCCGAGAGGGGGGGGGGGGGGGGCAGAAATCGAGGACCCCCCCCTCTTTTGACCGACCGCCTTAAAGGTGGCACCAAGGAGGCCCTCCAGGGCTCCCAAGAGGCCCCCAAGAGAGCTCCAAGAGCGCCCCAATAAGCCCAAGAGGCCTCCAAGAGACACCCGAGAGGCACCCAAGAGGCCCCCGAGCGGCCTCA